GGTGTGAAGGAAAAGAAGAAGGTGAAATTGTTGTTGGTGGAAATGGTTTCGGAAGTCAACCGAATCAATTATATTCTCCCGCAGATTTATCATTTGATGATGAAGGCAATCTTTATGTTGCTGATCAATTTAATAATCGAATTCAAAAATTTGAAATAATTTTGTGAATGAAATTTTGATTTAAAAAAAAAGAAAAGAAGTTTTTTATTGAATAAATAATCAAGAAATAAAAGGAAGAATGAAGTTTCATTATTGAAAATCAATGAAAAAAATCGAATAAATTTTTGATAAGAAAATAACAAAGAAAAATCTTTTTGGTTTTTTTCATCAACCTTGAATTTAATTGGTAATTTTCATTAAAAATTCGAATAAATAAATATTAAATTCTTCATCTTTTGTAAATTGAATTGCATTGCAATAAAAATTCTTTGACTAGAAGATTTTGTATTTTCGAAAATTCTATTTGTATATTTTTATTTGATGAAAATAATCAAATTGTCTGAAGTTGAAGAGAAAAGAAATATTTTATAAGAATTTGATAATAGAAATTTGATTGCATTGTATTTTATTGAATAAGACAAATGCTGAAAAGATTTTGTTAAATAAATTAACAAATTTTATCATTTCCTAATTTTAGTGGTTCGATTTAAAAAATTTCTTAATAAAAATTAAAGTGAAAATATAATATGTCAAAATGAAATCAATAAATATTTTCATCTAGATGAAAAGTAAAAACAAGAGTTACGGAAGAAAAATGAACAAGAGATTGAAATAAAATTAAACATTGGTGCTAAAAATTATAAAACGATCCAAAATTTAAATTTGATATTTGATATAAAAGAGATTTGTTTTATTTTTCAAAGAAAAACTGAATTCATTTCAATTTCAAATGAAAAAAAATCAACATTTTCTTTATTTTTGATTTTAAATAAAAAGTTTCTATGAAAAAATTATTTAAATTCTATTTTCTTTTTCGTCAAATAAAACCCAAATTATTGATAATTTCCAAATCAATGAAGTTTTTTTGTAACAAGATATTCGTTTTTTCATTGACATGGGTGTGAATTTGAGTGTCTCTTGTTGATCTACTAAGAACTTCCACATCCACACCCTCGGATAATTAAGAAAAAGAATAAATTTGTATAACATTCAATTTATTTTGAGATTTTACAGAATTTTCTTGGATTGTTATTTGATAAAATTTTGTTTAGTAAAATAAATCTTTATAACTATTTATTAGAATTTGATAAAACAAATCAACTCTTCTTCAATGATTTAATTCTTCATCATAATAAAATATTTGAATTTTATCGATTGAATTCTGACCGAACGGTAGAGAATGCCGTTTTTTTAAAGAAAGTATTCAACATTTCACAATGTCAGTCTCAGTATGATGTATTCTTCTTCGTTCTCTTGTACATGTCAGTATAGAACAAAAGAAATGATTGATATATTATTTTTACTTATAGCTATGTTAATATGATCATAATTATTCATCATGATGAACAATTTCAAAGGATAATAAAATAATAAGTTTAGTTGATTTTGTTAAATGTGAATGTGCCATTACTAATTCTTTTATTTATGTATTCGTTTCTCATAGATTTGATGATATTCATATTGTTGAATAATATTTGATGAAGATTTATTCTGAAGATCAACAACTATATTTTTCTTATCATTTATCTAATGTATGAAATAAGAATAAAATCAATTATACAATATATTTCTGACAGCATATAATATCTTTCAACTAAATGCAAAATAATAAAAATATTTTGTTGTCAAAAAACTTCTATTTTATTGTTGAGGAAGCATTGTATTTCCTTCGTTAAGGCATGATTTGCGATGTATCCTTAACAAGAATAACATTAAATTTTGTTTAAAACATTTTGTTTTCACATCCTGCCTACAAACATTTTTTATATTTACAACAAATAATCCCTGATATTTCATATTAGTTTTGAAAAAGGAAACGGATTCATTGTTTTTATCTATTGATAAATTCAAATGTTGTATTTGTTGCAAATATTTAAAAAAAAAGCAAGTTCCCATTAACACATTATGTAGGTGAATAGAGAAAAAAATTAACTTTATGTTCAGTTTCCAATAATATACAGAAGAGTTTTTTCTATCATTCAAGTTAATTATTGGAAATTAAATAAAGTTCTTCTCATTTTATTTATTTCATAGTTTTGTAAGTATATTTAATAGAATCATCAGCTATGTTCGACATTATTTAAATTATTCAATATCAAGAAATGGATTCTCAAATGATATTTTTCACTTTATTTTTATGTATTTGTTTCATTTAAAATAAAGATAATAATTCTGATGCTCACTGTATATAATTGTCTTTCCATATAAAATATCATATGTTGATGAAAACAATACCATTACTTTCTTCTTCTTTCAAATCATTTTTGAATAAAAATATTATATCTATTGTAAATATGAAACTCTACGAGTAACAATATGACGTAAATTAGTTCAAATAAGAGTTAATTTCTATAGAAAGAAAAGCTGTTAGCGCAATCCCTTGCGGGATTAAAATGTGAAACACGATCTAACTGTTGTTTCTACCTTCAAGAATATAGTTTAATTGTATCTTTATGAGGCGGATTTTGCCTCCTTCTGTGGTATAAAAGTATAGAAATACAGGAGAGAAATAATTTATATATGATGTACTCGCTTTATTAGCGTTTTAACGGCTGTGTGAGTGTGAATCTCGTAATCTTTGCTCGTTTATACCTACACCCGCACTCTACATAAAGGCCTATGATACCTTGTCGATCAGGGCTGTCATCAGGTCAAAAGAACATGTGTCGGTCACGTCTGTGATGATCTACGATGCCCTATCGGTCACGTCAGTGATGGTTTGCTATGCTCGGTCGGTCACGTCTGTGATACTCTATAATATCACGTGTATTACCTCTGTAGCGTTCTGTCGGCCACGTCTGTTATTTTTTAGCATGCTCTTTCGGTCACGTCAGTGATGGTCTACTAGGCTCTATCGGTCACGTTTGTGATGATTTTCCATGATATTCCGGCTATTTGTGCTGCTTATGTCGCTCACGTCAGTGACGCTCTGCCGGTCGCGTCTGTGATGCCCTGTCGGTCACGTCAGTGACGGTCTATGATACCATGTTAGTTGCCGCCTTTGATGTTCGGTCGGTCACGTCTGTGATGTTGTGTCGGTGACTTCTGTGATTTTTTGTCGGTCACGTCAGTGGGGAGGGAGGGCGGGGGGTAGTGGGTGCAAATTTCTACCCCTAAACACTTCAACACTCCTTTTAGTTCGTGTTTCACAAAAACATTAAAAATCAGCACTTTTTCAAGGAAATACAAAGTTTCCTGAGAAAAAAAGAATGTATTTTTTATTCGTTCATTCATGTGAAAGACTATAGAATTAAGTTATAACTCCGTTGTTAATTATCAAATTATTATCGATAAAATACTTTAGTAATAGATTAAGATGAATATAAAATATTTTGATGATGTATTAGAAGAGAAGAGATAAGAATGACAATAAATTAACATCAAGATAAGAGGAATATATCTATCTATCATATTGTTATTCTAATATTTATTCAAAGAGAAAACAGTGGATTTCAAAGTTTCAGTTGTATTCACTTTCTCGACATACATTTTCAGTCACAAAATTAAGAAATATATGTCATATTTTGTTTTTCTCCAGTAAGAAAAATGATTAAAAGAACATAAATATATTCAAAGAATCGATGTATTTCATCTGACTATGATTGTAGTTAAAATCATGGTTATAGTTTTCTTTGTTGACTAGTCATATTTAATAGATTATTACTAAGTAAAGATCAAGTACTAATCCTTTTTGTTTTCTTCAATATTCTATTTCGATCTCGAATTAAATCAATGAATGTTATAATCATTTAACTATTCTGTAAAATAATTATTGCATACAATAAAATCAAATAAAAATCTACTTCTAACTATAAATATTGTCTGATTAGGAATTATTTTAGACAATTTTTTGTATATAGTAAAACATTTTAACGTCACTTTTTTTCTTTCTGTGAGGATATGTTGTATATCCTTTGAACAGCGCTGATTTTCAATGTTTTATTAGATAATAATTACACCAGATGTTGTCTCAAACAGTTTCATATTTATCAGAGATAACAACTCTCTCTCACAAGAGTTGTTTTTTTTTTTGAAAATTGACATTGAAAAAGGAAGTGAGCTCATTGTTTTTATTGATATATGATGCTTTACATTAACATGATAATCTGCGTCACAAGAGAACTGATTATTTGAGAAAGAGAAAGAGAGAGCATGATAAATATTTTTTCTATTTTCTAGTTGAAATTGGATTGAAAAACTTCTAAGATTAGTCAGTAAGGAATATTAGATATTATTTGAAATATAGATTTCAACAATTAACGAGAAACACAAATGATTTTTTTGTGAAAAGATATTCAGATAAACAGTTTAGCTTCTTTGTAATTATATTATTCATGACTGAAAATTTTTTTTGTTGATTTTAGATTATAAAAGTATTAAACTATCAACAATGATCAACAACAACAGAATCGGAGTTGATAATGATGTAATTTATTGAGAAAAAGAAAAAGCATAAAATATAATATTTGTTGTTTTTTTTATTATTTTAGTCTGAAACAACTACTTCGAATGCAACGCAATCAAAAAAGCTGTATGTATGTTATGAATTATAGACAATAATAAAAAAGATTTATTATTCTAGATGTGACTTTCTGAAAAGAAGAAAAGTGATGTGTATCACATTTACTATTATTGTACTTGCTATAATCATAACAATTTCAATTGTTATCGTCAAAACAAAAAAGACAAACAGCGAAAAAGTATCAACAACAGAAGAAATGGAAGTAACAACAGGTAGTTAAAATAAGATAGTCATTTATTTTGAAATTAATATACGATAGATTATTTTAAATGACCGAAGTAGAACTTGATTGTTTATCATAACTTATTAGGGATGCACCGAGCCTGGCCGAGTCCCTAGCCTATCGAGCATGACCGAACCTCGAGCTCGAACCCGAGAGGCTCAGTCAGGACTCGGGCTCGATACATCCTCAATCATAACAACTTATACATGATAGTTCTAAGCAACAATATCAAAAATTGTTCTGAGAGTCATAATGGAATTTTTAGCATGTAGAGGAATATTTATTAAGAATAGCTCTGTGAGAAAATCAGATATGGATGATGATTCGACATCTCAGATTTCACTTAATATTTTTTGTATGTTATAGATAGTAGTAACATTAGTATTAGCTGAGATTTCCAGTTCAATTGTATTACTCCTTCTTATTTCTAAGAAATATCAAGCTTCCTAATAAATTAAATTAAAGAACAAAACATCTAACTAAAGCCATCGCCCGAAAGCAAACCTTTTTGAATCGAACTGTTTGTTTTGAGGCTTATTTGTCGAATTCTACTTTGAAAATATCCTAGTAAATGAAATCTCTGTGGGTCATGAAATGTCCCTATTCAAACTAAAGAATCAATACTTGCAAATATTGCAAAAATAACAAAAAAAAATAGAGAGAATTATTCGATGAAATAAAATTGGCACTGACGTGTTTTAAAAAGAATTTTATTGATATTGTATATAAATTTACAGCGCATTGTCCAAGATCTTAGACAATAAATAAGAAATAATAAGAAGCTACACAGAATTTGTGTTTATGGAGGTGATGATCAAAAATAGTTTGAAAAAGAAATAAAGCTATTCTAGTAGTTCTGATTACGATCTAATGACGTCATCTTGAAGTTTTTCTCTGTACCATAAAGAATCTTTTAACAGTATAATTAGCTACACTACAATAATCAATAGTTTTGAAAAGCAAGCGATGAACTAGACCGATGTGAATTGATTGCGCTTTATGATAGTTAAACATAAGCTGTAAGCTATGATCGTTGAATTAGGATAAGTTTCTGGCCGGAATGTCATCTTGAATGAAAATGAAATATTTCAAGAACAGAAGGAGTATATAAATGTTATATGAGTTAATTTCTACAATTCTGCCAATGTTTCATTATTAAACTTATAAAAAATGTAAAATGAGTTGTCAAAATTATTATAGTCGAGATGTAATTAACCCTCGTACTATCAAGCCTTTTTTTATCACTGTATATATCCTCAACAGAACGGACAAAAATGACCCTGATGGTACTACTAGGATTAAAGTTAAGATCATAGAATTGTAATTATAATGTAAGGCATCTAAAGATTTCCTATGTTATTATAATGCATTAAAAATTACGACCGATAAATTGTTAGAGAAGAGGAAGAAGAAGAAGAGGATGACGAAAATAATTAGGAATAAAGCCTTATCCTATCATTTAGTCTCTTTTTAAACTCATTTTGTAATCTAGAATCACCTACCACATCAACTTCAACAACAACATCAACAACAACATCAACATCAACATCAACAACAACAACAACGTCAGGTTAGTAATATGCTGGATGATGTGTAATAGCCTAAACGATGAGTATCACAAATGACCAAATCTAAAAGTTTCGATTTTAGCTGTTCAGTATTCCTCATCTAGATTTAGAACATCAGAGAACTTTGTATGAGGACTAGAAACAGGATCAAATTTTTGATGATTTGATTCCATTTACAACTAGTCAAATATTGGATATGTCAATCGATTTTGACGGTGTAATGCAAATATGTTGTCGATAGAAAGATTCTCACATGATAGAACTCAGTGATCACTTCAGGAACTCCTTATTACATCGGAAAAGGTTGATAATGATAGATATTATGACTAAATAAAGTCATATAACGTCATTGCTTGTAAATATAGCATAGAAGACAATTGGAAATAACCATCCAAATGAAAAGAGATGTGCCTTCTTTCTGACGCCAAAGTTAGGAGTATTATCCTACATCAACCAGATCATCTAAGAAGTGTAATATTTATTGAGTCATTTTTGAAGAGTTATATCCAGAGTTATTTGAGGTTATCACTATTTCTCGTAGTACACTATCAGCACGAGTCTGTTCCAAGTACCATCTCTGTCAATTACTCACATTATAATTTAGGCAAACTCGCATAATAAACATTTCTAGCTGATAATCGTTGCAAGATGAGTAACAAATACAAAACAATCGGAAAACATTAAGTTGAGATTATTTGAGAAGAAAAGTGAATCCAAGAAAGATTCTCTTTTATAACTTAAACAATAGGTTTTAATCTATATATATTCATGATATGGTCAGTTTTAATATGATTTATCGGTATGATTATACATGTAGAAGTACCAGTTGATATGAACACCTAATCTCATGTTTCAGGTAGCATTTATATAGAATCGACGTGTTCAAAAGAAATTGTAGTCGGATAAAATACTAACTTAACACTCAACAAACACATCTTTCATAAACATCATTTTTTTCATGAGAATGATATGAGCATTATATTATTTTCATGCAAAGTCACATTCATTCCAGTGGCGAAGCCAGGACTTTGAGCTAGAGGAGGAGAGAGGACTCAGCCCCCAGAACCGTTTTGGTCCTTCTTAGGAAGTATAATTTTTTGTTCTCTTTTTCACACGAGGTTAGATAGAGCTCGTCGAGTTGAGTAAGAATTGATCAGTTTTTATATTTCTTCCAAAGTACTGAAAGACTCATTTTCTTGAAAAAAATATTAAAAAAACTCATCTTTTAATGTTTTTTTCCAATTTCAGAGGGCTTTTACATTTCTTCGGACTATGAAAATAATATATTTAGATTTATCGTGGAAAACTGCATCGATCTGACCTCTTTTTTGATATTCCTTAGTGAAAATATGCTTGTAAAATGAAGGGATTCAAAAGTGAAAAAAACATTAAAAGATGAGTTTTTCCTAATATTTGTTCCAAGAAAATGGGTCTTTCAGCACTTTGGAAAAAATATAGAAGCTGATGTATTCTTACTCACTTCGACGAGCCCTATCCAACCGTGTGTGAAAAAGCGAAAAACAAACTTCTGCTTTAATTTTGCATTGTTTGCACCTCACGTTATCGAATGAGTGAAATATGAAACTGAGAAATCCCTAGAATCTAGCTGAAGCTCATACTAAATGTGTTTTTATTTGTTTAAAAAGTACATATGATTTTGACACAATAAGGTATATCTCATAGAATATTCCAGTACAAAGAATAATAAGATTTTGTATCAGAAAAACATATTTTTCTAAATCTTGCTAGGGGAGGAGGCTGAGCACTCTCCGCCCCCTCGGCTCCGCCACTGATTTCATTTACAATTCAACTTCAATAAGAAAACAAATTCAAAGTTTCATTGAAAACTAATCTTTTCTTTTTTTTCGTGGATAAAAACAATTTTTCCACATCTTTCCATCAAAATCTTTTGTATTCATTCTTTTCTAGAGCCGAAATTCAGCAAATGGAAACCAGATGGCATCACTGTGGCTGGTGGGAATGGAGAAGGACAAGAATTAAATCAACTCCAAGGCCCTATTGGAATCTTTATTGATAAAAATAAAAATATTTTCATTGCTGATACTCGGAATCATCGTATTGTTGAATGGAAATACAATGCAAAGGAAGGACAAATTATTGCAGGTGGAAATGGGCCAGGAAATCGAATAGAGCAATTGGATCAGCCGACAAATGTGATTGTTGATGAACAAAATCATTCGATCATTATTGCTGATTGGGGAAACAGACGAGTGATTCAATGGTTGAATCAAAATCAACAACTTCTTATTCACAATATTGACTGTTGGGACTTGGCAATGGATAAAAATAGATTTCTTTATGTTTCTGATTGTATAGAGAATAAAGTGAGACGATGGAATATGGGAGAATACAACACAGGAGTTGTAGTGGCAGGTGGAAATGGACAAGGAGATCAACTCAACCAACTCTCTTATCCTAGTTTTATCTTTGTTGATGAAGATCAATCTGTTTATGTATCAAATTGGATTAATCATCGTGTAATCAAATGGAAAAAAGATGCAAAAGAAGGAACAACTGTGGCTGGAGGAAATAGTATGGGAGAAAAACTTAATCGATTGTATCTTCCTCAAGGAGTAATTGTTGATGATTTGGGTCAAATCTATGTGGCAGATGAAGAGAATCATCGAATAACGCGTTGGTGTGAAGGAAAAGAAGAAGGTGAAATTGTTGTTGGTGGAAATGGTGAAGGAAATCAATCAAATCAATTGAATTATCCCATGGGTTTATCTTTTGATGATGAAGGAAATCTTTATGTTGCTGATCAAATGAATCATCGAATTCAAAAATTTGAAATAATTTTGTGAATAAAATTTTGATTTTGGAAAGAAGGAAAAAAGTTTCATTGAATAAATAATCGAGAAGCAAAAGAAAAAATCAAGTTTTATTGTTGAAAATCAATGCAAAAATCGATTAAAACTGGAAAAAAAAGAAATAGTTTATGAAAAATTGAGAATAAAAATTTGAAAACAGAAAAAAGAAATACGCAAGAAAAATTAACAAGAGATTGAAACAATATATAATTCAACTTTGATTTTGATTTTCAAAGATTTCTGATGAAATAAAAATATTTTTTATCTGATTTCTTTCAATAAAACTTGTAAAAAGATGTTTTTTATTTTTCAAAGAAATTAAAATAAGTATGTAAGAATTTCTTTATGAAATTCAATTGAATTTTCTTCTTTCTCATAAAAAAACCAAATTATTTCTTATAGTTTCGAATCAGCAAAGTTATTTGTGGAAAAACTTTCAAATTTCATGAAGAGAAAAAGAATTTGAAGGTGTGACATTTACTTTTTCATCCATATTAAAAATTCAAAGTCGAATTTATTAAGAAAATTGTCTAATTAGAATAGTTGAAGAAGTGACTCAAAAATAAAATAAAACTTATTCATGTGATCTGAAGCTTTAATTTTTGAAAATAGATCCATAAAACATAAGCAATGTTAACAGCAGATTTTTGCACCGAATGAGGTCACCTGAGAGAGAGAGAGACATTGAGTAAGAATGGGTAGTTTCATTCAAAATACTAGCTGGATGTGGATATGGATTATTCAACGATCAATGCCTACACTCTTGTACAAAATAAGAACATGTAAAAGATCTTTTTTCTTGAGTAGGAAAATCCATGAATAGTAGTTGTATCAAATTGAAATTGAGATGATAAATATTCATGTTCAACATTTTCTTTAGTTAATCATTCAGAATTAATATCATTAGATACCAAAAACAAACGTCTGACATAATATTGCTCATATTATTAAATGGATTTATGATGAAATAAATGGAAAACTTAGAGATTATTTTCATTTTATATGTACTTATTCATCTAAACTCAAAAGCTATTGGATAGAGATAGTTTTTTGGTCTTGTTGTTCACATATAAATAATTTCTCTAATAAATCAAGCTTTATAGTTATAGAAAATTGTCTTTACCTATAAATTTATTTTCTCTTTATATGTTTATTATTAAATATTTCAGTTAGAAAATCATTCAACAAATAAAATATATAAAGCAAAAGAATACGTTCAGATATAATTATAAATAGAAATTAGTTGAATGTAACCAAAACTAGACATTAACATAATTAAGGTGTATACTGTTCCATGTGTTGTTATAATAAGAATCATATTATTCAATCAATACATCAACACGGAGAGTTCTGGTAACGATATTTTTCCAGCTTCTTATTATTTTTCATCACATAGAACAATTCGAATATATTGAAATTGGATAGATTCTGATGAATTCTTGTTGAGTTTTTGTGATATTCAAATGTAAATTGTGTTTTGTTTTTTCTCATTTCATGATCAGTATCATATTACAAGTTAAAAGATAATTTTTTTAAATTGTTTTATTGTAATTCATCCTAGCTATTTCTTAAAGGTCTTCTTCTTCTTCTTCTTTGTTATAAATGAAATGAAATAGATACCTACCATAAAGTGGGGAAAAACCCAGAGATACCAATTTCGAAAGAAAAAGAAAAAGAAAAAGAAGGACTGTATATAAGAAGATGGTTACCGTTTAGCTTTACATTTTTTTTTCAAAACAAAGACGACATAGCAATATACAATCAAAGGTATGAGAATTATGTCATAAGAGTCAAAGGAGAAGTTTCAAAATATTGAAGATTTGAATCGTGTTCGAGAGGATCATATAAATTTTATTATTCGATTTTATTTGGATTATGACTGCCACTTCTCCTTCATAAAAGTTGTTGACAAAATATTCTATAGACTTTGAGGCCTTTACTAAAGCAAGGTTCCAATCATAGTTAGATAAAACAGTCAAAGCACGATCAAGGATCACTATATTCCATAGGCTCGGCAATTGATATAATAAACGTTGGTGTTTAAGGGTGAATATGGGTAGATGCGACTACGCGTATTTGCGACAGCCACACCCACATTCAGTTTTAGAAGAAAATATATTTTCTTTGCGCAAGAATTGTTATGCCCTAAATGACTTTCCGATTCTAAGTGCAGTTACAGTTAGTGGTACTCTTATTTTTGATTGTGTAGAATGAAGAATTTTAAAAGCGTATTCATATTTGTTACTTAGGCCGAAAGAATTCTTTAGTCGAATGGATCTTATAGTGATAACTTCAGAATGTTTTCTTTTCACAAATTCAGATGAGGGCAACTGCATCACACGATTTCTATAATATAACTACCGTTTTTTAGGAAGAATAAACTAACAATTTTTTTATCAATAGTGCACTTCTACTATTTATTCTCAATTAATTTCATCTTTTCAGAACTACAATCAACATCACCCAGAAAACAAGTAACAAGTACAGTATCACCAAAGCCAACACTTGGGAAGTTACTTAAATCTAATTACCAAAACATGGAATGTCAAAAACCTTTTATTGACACAAACGAAGAAGATATAGAGTTGGCTTCAAAACGAGTGACTGAATATGATGTATCACCAGAATACCAAGTAAGTAGAGTTGTGTTTAGGGATGCTGGCTTAGTATTATCACTGCATTATCCTAATTTTAATCGGATACTAATGCTAAGTTAGTACCTCCAGTTCTGTTTCATCTTAGTTTTAGACAGAAAACTAGATGTTTTATGTGCATGAATTTATTAGAAACGGTTACAAAATGCAATAACTATTTTAGTAAGATGAAGAGAACAATTAATTCTATCTGTAGTAAATATTGTTTTTGTAAAATTCGTTTCGTGAAACACGATTTGAAAGAGAGTATTGAAGTTTTGAGGGTGTGAGTGTGAGCGTGGGCTGAATTTCATACCCTTACTCACACTGACATCCATACTCCTACCTATACCCACATCCGCACCCTTGACATGAATTAATTCGTTTTTTTAAGAAATTCTTTGTTAAAAAGAAAGATCTGAAAGAATTATTTTTATTGTATATAACACAGATGTGCAGAATGTGTACGAAGAGCTTTTTGAATGTTTTTCCATTGAGCACAACGAAAGAAATCTTATCTCAACAAACAGAAATAAATGTATAGAATCAAGATCAAATTACTCGTTGTTTTTTCTTATTTCGCTTCTTTTTCTGAGAATTTTCACACAGGATTAAAAAACTGTTAAACATATTCTCATCTTTATTAAACACAAAATAAATTTTAAAAATGGATGAAATATTTGTTCCCGAAATAAAATAATTCTGAAAGAGATTAAATTTTCTTTATTATTATTCGAGAAAAGATTACCAAATTGAAAAAATTCAATGGTTAGTTACGACAACAATCAACACTGTTTAAAGAATTCTAAATGAATAATTTTTTTCCAATATTTAGTCTGAGTCCGAAAATAAAAACAATATTACACAATCTACTCGTCCATAAACAGGATCGTAAGTATTTGATTTATTTATGCAAAATATATCTATGATTTTAGATCTTTATTTCATCGGAAAGCAATATTGATTTTAATTATCATTGTTATTCTTAGCCTAATAACTATTATTAGTATTACAATATGGGCTATTTTCATTAAAAAGCCCGAAACAACAATTAATACAACTACAGCTAAAATTGATATATCGACAACAGAAACAACAATGCTTACAATGTTGACTAACTCTTACACAACAACAAAGAATGGTAAAGTTTTGTTATAAAAGAAAAAATAAGAATTGACATATTTCTTGGATTCAAAAAAAAATAAGCTCCACACTTCAGTTCCAAATTTGTAGCTCACTCACGCATCCACATTTTATCTAGAGATATATGAAATTTTATGGTCGTTCAAAGAAAATTAATAATTAAATAAAGAAGAAATCTGTTACGGAATGAGAAGTGCTATTTTCAAAACAGAATAATAGTACTTAGTACCCAGAAGTGATACTCCCAAAACAGAACAATTATGTTCTATTTCTGAGAATTTTGAGATGTGAGTGTACTAGAAGAATCATCCACACCCATATTTGATTTTTCATTAAACATGTTTATTAACATTTCATTCAAAATCAATCTTTTCTTTTTTCTTTGATTAAAAACAAAATTTCCTTCTTATTCTTTTTTTTCTCACCATTTTCTAGTATCGAAACTCAACAAATGGAAACAAAATGGCATCACTGTGGCTGGTGGAAATGGACAAGGACAACAATTAAATCAAGTTAATTGGCCTCGTGGAATCTTTGTTGATAAAAACAAAAATATTTTCATTGTTGATTAGATGTATGGTCGAATTGTTGAATGGAAATATAATGCAACGGAAGGACAAATCATTACAAGTGGAAATCGAATGTATCCCTTGAATCGACCAACAGATGTGATTGTTGACCAACAAAATCATTCGATCATCATTGCTGATCATGAGAACAGACGAGTGATTCAATGGTTGAATCAAACTCAACAAATTCTCATTAAGAATATCGGCTGTTATGGCTTGGCAATGGATAAAAATGGATTTCTTTATGTTTCTGATTGGTACAAGAATGAAGTGACACGATGGAAAATGGATGAATATAACAATGAAGGAATTGTAGTGGCAGGTGGAAATGGATATGGAAATCAACTCAGTCAACTCGATCGTCCTACTTATATCTTTGTTGATGAAGATGAATCTGTTTATGTATCAGACTCGAGCAATCACCGTGTGATGAAATGGAGAAAAGATGCAAAAGAAGGAAGAATTGTGGCTGGAGGAAATGGTCAAGGAAAAAATCTTAATCAATTGTCTAATCCTCAAGGAGTCATTGTTGATCATTTCGGTTACATTTATGTGGCAGATTGTAATAATCATCGAATAATGCGTTGGTGTGATGGAAAAGAAGAAGGTGAAGTTATTGTTGATGGAAAGGGTCACAAAAACCAATTGTATTCTCCCACAGGTTTATCTTTTGATGATGAAGGAAATCTTTACGTTGCTGATGTGGTAAATGATCGAGTTGAAAAATTTGAAATAATTTTGTGAATGAAATTTTTATGTTCAACAAGAGAAAAAAAATTTATTGAATAAATAATCAAGAAATAAAAAGAAAAATAAAGTATTATTGTTGTAAATCAATGAAAAAATAGAAGAAAATTTGAGTAAAAAGAAATTTTTTGACAAGAAAACAAAGAAGAAACGTCTTTTTGATTTTTTTCATCTGATTTGAATTTAATTTGATAATTTCGATTAAATAAATATTAAATTTTTCACCTTTTATTAATTTTTGTCGATTTGATAGTAGAAAAAAAGAAAATATCTTGTAATTTGTATTGCATTGAAATAAAAATTATTTGAAAAGAAAGTTTTATATTTGATTGAATTCTTTTTGAGTATTTTATTTCATGAAAATAATGAAATAGTTTTCTTTTTCCAATTTAATAAATTTTAAAAATTGTCTGAAATTGAAAGAGAAAAGAAATGTTTCACGAAAACTTGGCAATAAAAATCGAAATGGAATGAATTTGTTTTTTCAGAACAATTGCTGGAAAGAGTTTTCTTTAATAAATTAATAAACATTGAATTGAAAAATACTTTATCAAAATGAAATCGATGCAAAGAAATTCTATTTGAAATGTCAAAAGAAATCAATGAAAATATTCTTTTAGATGCAAAGAAAAAACAAAAATTACTGAAGAAAAATGAACAAAGAAATTCAAATAAAATAAAAAGCAATAAAAGTTCTTTTTAATAAAAACTACAAAGTGAATTGTTTTGTGTTTGAAAGAAATTAAAATAAATATTTAATAAAAATGATTAAATTTGAACAATTAACAATTGGTGCTAACCATCAGGCTAGTTTATCGAGTGAACAGCGATAATATTATCATCATTTTTTTCATGATTATTACTTCGCAGTTCCCTTTTGTGCAATAAATACAATATTCAATTTCACACACTCACACGCAAATTTATTTTTAAGAAAAGTATTTTCACAATACAAAAAACGTCAAAGAAAACCTTTAGTTAGTGAGTCCTTTTAATTAGAGATATAACGTGATTATTATGTAAATATTGTATATATATTATAGAGAAAATAGACTATTTTTTATAGATTTTTTCTAAGGATTAGCAAGTGCATAAACGTCCGTAGCACTCAGTTCTCGAGAATAAACACGAAATTCATCGAGAGAACCAAAATAAACACTTGTAGCAATTGATGATGAATTGCAGGAACCACCCGCTATCGAATTTCCTAATGTCAAAATAACTGCTTGTTGTGCAGCAATATAGGACATAACACCTGTAGTACCATTATATATTCCATTTATATAAAATCTCATTCCATTTATGGTTGAGTAAGTACTAGCGACATGAGTCCAGACGTTGATGGGTAGAACGGGACCCACTACTTCCTGCCCTGAAGAGGCCCAACTAGTGGCTACTATTTCACCAGTAGAGCGAAATCCTAATAAAGTAACGCACCATCCTTGTCCATTTGTCTGAGTTGAAAGATGAACAAGAGTTCCACCACCTGTTGATGTTCGTTTAACCCACAACGCAATAGAATATGCATGGTTTGAGGTTCCAAGAAGAACAAAACTTTGTATCTAAATAAATATTATAGGTTCAATGATTTTATTGTTGTTTTCATCATTTTTCAGTTATTTTTATAGAAAGTCTTCTCATGAGCGCTGATCAGATATTCAAGTTTTTTGTCTAAACTATTAATGATGAAAAGTTAAATAAAGTCAACGATATACCTGATAATAAGATGAAGTTGAGTTGAAATTTAATGCTTGATTCACTCTTCCAACTATTAAAGTAACATCATTAGTTGTTACAATGAGTTCAAGTGGACCAGAGTCCTGTAATGGTATAATATCAAATGAATGCCATGTAGTCAAAGTAGCATCATCAAGTATTTCGCTAGCACTTTTAGCTCGCATGGTCAGTGAAACTTGATCAATGTAACTAAAAGTATAAGAGTAATATGTGGACTAAAAATCAAATGATAATCTCTGTTTCTTTTCAAGTTTTTAAGCTTAAGGAATTAATTGATAGAGAATGGGTAAATGAATCATTTTTTCTTACCCATTGAAAGGTTGAATTATATTAGCAGAATCAAAAAATGTTCCAATAGTTATTGCGCCAGAGATTCCTAAAAACGGTCCAGCTGGGGTACGAAGACCATCTTGATATCCATTCAAATATACAATTTGTGTTCGTGATCGATAGTCGTAGACGAAAGCTACATGATACCAAGTGTTCGTTGTTGACACTGCGGTTGCACCCTGAAGATCATCACTATAAAAACCCATATAAAGACGTTGATAACGAAGTATCAAATGTAATAGACGATCAGTTGCCGAGGCTTCATGTTGAGAGAAGAGTCCATAAAAAATATCGCTTAATGAAGTAGGATAAATCCACATTTCCACTGTAAAACTAGCATTAGCGAATATTTGATTGGCTGCTATTGTTACGTATTGATTATTGGTTTTATTGAGATTTAAAGCATATCCACTGCCAGTGATTCCAGGTGCTACATAACTAGGTGAATTGACACCTACTCCATTGAGATTTGATATACTATCTAAGGCATTGTTATCAAATTGCCAAAGATTGGATGGACCAAATGTATATAAGGTTGTTACTAAACAATAATTGATAATATTATCATTGATTCATATATTCAGACTCTAGTCTACTGAGATTTCTTCAGAAAAAAGTCTCTTTTGATAGTAATAAGAGTAAATATATCTCATTTCATTATTTCCTATTGTTAAGTGAACGCATGTTTGAATATGTCTTTTAATAAGTGCTACAAACAGTGACATACTCTATAAAAAGAGTCACATTTACGAATGACTTTCTCTATATTGTATAAAAGTTTTTATTAATGTCTCAATTAAAAATACTGACCTTGAGCTAGTTGACCAATATCACTTAATGACAATTCACGAGAAAAGATTTTTAATTCATCAATCTTTCCTCGAAATTGTGATGGATTAATTGTTGTTGTATTAACAGCACATGTACTTGGAGAAAGACAAGTTCCAATAGTAATTGTAGTTATTTGACCGCTAGCCGAGTAGCTTGTAACAGTATTATTACTGACCATGAATGTTCCATTAATAAACAATTGAATGCCATTGATAGTTGAATAAGTCATAATCACATTAGTCCATTGATTTAATGGTAATATTTTAGAAGTTAATGAAGCAGCATAAATACCATTACTACCCATTGTTTGGATTGTTAGACGACCAGATATATCAAAACCAATCATTGGCACACACCAACCATTTGAAGAGCTGACCTACTTAATCAAGATAAATTAAATATGATGGTTATGTTTAGATGAATTTTACCTGAAGAATAGTACCATTATTGACGAATGGATAAATCCACAACGAGAATGAATATGGATACTTCGTTTGACCAAGATAATAGAAACTTGTTGTTTGAAAGTAAGATGAATTTGTTGAATTGATTAATAAAGCTTGATTAAATCGACCAGACGAGTCAAACATAGTTGAGACAGTAGTACTATTAATGAATTGATTAGGTCCGAGATCAGTATACGAATTATCGAATGGATAATAAGCAACAAGAGTGGCTTCGTCAAGAAGTTCAGCAGAAGTTTTAACACGTGATACAAGCGTCAATTTATCAATAAAACCATTGTTCATAATAACTCCCCAAGTGAATGACGGTACGGCTCCGACAACCAGTACGCTTGCAGTACCTTTATAGGAACCACTGGCCACTCGACTTCCATCAACAATTCCATTCAAATAAACAGTCTGTCTCAGTGATGATTGATCGTAGACATAAGCAACATGATACCATTGATTGGAACTCAGTGAAGTACCTCCTGTTAAATCATCACTGTAGAAACCTAAAAAGACTCTACCACCATTTATTCCAGTATGCAGACACGTATCTGGATTAGTTGCGCTGCAATGACTAAAAATTACAAAGAAATTTCCACTTAATGAGAGACTTGCTGGAATCCATATCCAACCAGAAATCGTGAAACTAATAGAAGTGAAATTAAGATAATGATTGACAAGCATATAATTGGTAGATAAAAAGCAAACGCTACTTCCATATCCAGCATAGCCTGGTGACATCCATGTAACATTACTGTTATTGACTAAATATCCATTATAAGTACCATATGCATCGTTGAAATCTCCATCGAATAACCACTGAATAATAGTTAGTGGATTGATTGGAGCTACAATAAAATAAACTTGTTAAGCATTTTTCGACAATAGTTTAGGTAGAATTTCTTTTCTATGGATGCATATCTTGAGGCTGTGGGTGTGAATGCTTCATACATCTATCACTCACACCTGCATCCACGTAAAAGTAAAGGTTTCATGCAGTAGTAAGCAAAAGGATGGGATACAAAATGATCAGTCTCTGTTTCTCGTCGTTTTAAGAACTAATTCAACCACAATAATCATGAATCTATTTTGACAACAATGAATATTGTTTATGAACACACATATATAATTTACGGAGGATGAGTGTGGGTGTGTTCTTCTCTTACCGACATCCACACTCATACTCATTCTACGAACGACTTGGATAAAATATACAAACAAGTAAAAAAATAAATAGATTTTTGGGATTTTAGCTTTATCTCACAGCAAAATATACTACTACTACTCCCTATAGGGAATACTTTTGACCGGTCCAGATGTTACTCACAATAGAGAGGCTTTACTGTGAAGCATTTTCAAAAGTCATACACTCGTCCAAAACAACTTTAAAACGAAAAAGTACGATTTATCTATTAAACATTGGAACCAAACAAAAGTTTAGAACAACAACTTGCAGGTTTAATCAATTCAACAACGAGTTATGTGACTCAATACTGAAACTAATCTTCTCTATTACTTACCAAGTGTTGTTGTTGTTGTTGTTGTTGTTGTTGTCGTCGTTGTTGATGATGTTGTAGAAGAGGTTGTAGTTGATGTGATAGAGGTTGTTGACGTAGTTGCCGTTGTCGATGTAGTGGACGTTGTTTC